AAGGGAGAAAGGCATTAGTACAAAGCAGTCATAGAAGAGGAGAGCAAGCTGAGGCTGCCTACAACACCAGCTTCTCCACACAGCATAAAGTTACTTCCCTTAAAAAAACCACAAAATCAGAGACTTAGACATATGAAGCTAAATTAATTTAAAATCCCAGGGAAACATCTGATTGGCCTCCCCATGCTTCAGTTGTTTTCATTTAATTTTTGTGGCTGTTGTAGCAGGCACAAATAAGTGGATGAAGGATGAAGCAAAAAGCTGTGAAAGAAGCACTGAGGCTGCAGTGAATAAGGTCCTTTCTCCCACAGAGAGAAAAATTGCAGCCCTTCTATGCTTAGAAATGTATAGGCAGTATGGCTTTGAAGGCAAGGCCTGTTTTTTGCTTCAGGTGGTGTGTATTTTCCTGGCTCAGCTAAGGAGCACAAAGATGGATAAAGTATTTTTGTACCAACAGAGAAACTGCATGTAGGAAACACTGATATCCATTTGGGGCCGTATTTGGGTTGGTATCTTTGGACGGGGTATCTGTAACTGTCTTTTTCATGCTACAGCTACTTTTGTGTTTATATTTGAAGCTGCAGCTTTTGGGCTAAGTGCATGGTATTAACCAATGTTTGCATACTCCAAGTACATTAGGTGACGCTATCTATCATTAGTTACATTATTATTAACACAGGGAAAATGACACAGTTCTCCTTTTCCCCTGGCATAGTAACCTCAGTGGGAAAAGTATTTACCACAGAAAGACCTTGAGTGTGCCACTTTTTAGTGGTTTATGGTCATTTCAGTAGTTTCATTTGTGAGAAACAATTACTCAATGAGCACGATAGAGATCCTAAGGGATGTGTAAAAAACATTTTCAAGGATTCAGTGGAGATGCATATGCTCTGTGGGCTCCTACCAATCCACAGTGATTTTTTGGGATTAGGTTAAGAAGTGATCTGGGTTGAAGCAACACAATCACCAGCTTGCTCTTAGAGGTTTGGATCCTGACCAGGGACAGCACCAAAATCACTGTGGCTGGTGTGGAGAGAATTCCTTAGCAGGGGAATCCTCTCAGTGCCTCATGAATTGCAATTATATTAAGCACACTTTGGATAGTCCCATTAGTAATTTATTTTGAGGGATTCTTTGAGTGAGACTACGAGACAAGGAGCTGACTGGACAAGGAGCAATCCATCCTGGCTGGGAGGTCACTGGCAGCTGCAGTGTACACAGCAGGTTGCTGCTTCACGAGTGGGAACAGACAAATTCAAAGACTGAGCAGTAGTAAAGGTCAGTATCTCTTCCACACTTGCAATCAGATCAGCAACCCAGTCATTTTCATCTGGGCTGTTTGACATGAGTTCTTGACTATATCTTTTTTTTATTCAACTGAATCTTCAGAAGGTACATATATTTTGTTTTGGGCTTTGTTGCAGTGCATGAATTGTACCTCTGGCTTTTAAACTTTTTCAAAAATTTCTTTAAAAGATGATAAGAAAAGGAGTTTAACTGAAAATAATATATATATTTAAAACAATAATTCAATAATCAGAGACTGAATGTGTGAACAGCAGAGGTGATCAGTCCAGGGCCATGTCTGGATCTATTGCAGACAGCAGAGCATGCAATGTGGCACATACTCTCAGAGCCCATGTTACCACCTGGGCTAAAAATAATGCCATGGTAAGAGCTTTGCATGAAAGCTCAATTCCATGAGGTCCATGGCTCCTATAAGGTGTATAGGTATATTCATCAATGTTCCCTTCAAAGTGGATTGAAATACATTCTGGATGTTAAATACAGGAAAGTTACGTGCCTCAGGCTAACTCATTGAAAAACAAATTGCAGGGGACAAAGATGTGGAAAGCTTGAAATATTATGTGACATACAAACTGGAAATACACATGCTGAAAAGCAGAATGAGCTGCTACTCAAATCCAGTCTACCTTGATGAAGTTCTGAAGAAATGTCAAATAAAATTCAGGTTTGACCCTGCCAGAAAGTGGTATGGAAAAGTAAAGAAGTGAAGGCATTTCTGAGCCCCACTCAGAAACCAAGCAGGAGGTGCAGCTTTTTCACACCCTGAATACCAGCAACAGGAAAATCCAGTGGTGTCTCAGCCCACACACCAGCCTGGGGGGCCAGCTCCTCACCATAGCACCCCCTGTGCTCTCACCAGGAGCAGCTCCTGCAGCTGCTGCCCAGAGCCTGGGCTGGTGTGGCAGAGTAGAGCTGCTGAAACACAAACTGGAGACACCCACTGGCACATCAGCAAGGTGACTGGAAATGGGGATTCCTACCAGATCAGTACTGATCAGTCACACATCAATACTCAGAGACTAACACTAACACAGATTACTGGAGATTTCTGCTTAAATCAACCCACCATCAAGGAAGTCACGCAGATAGTCAGCAAAATAATTTTATTTGATTTTCAGGCTATTAAGAAAATACCTACTTGTGTTTCTGCACCTGAGAACTTACCTTTTCAAAACCTGTTTCCTAGGTTTGTTTCTTCTGTTTTGCCTTTCTGTCCTTTCACTCCCATGCTCTGGGTCTACACTGAACCCCTTCCAAGCAAAACCTCTCTCGTATCTTCTCTTACATCTGCTGTAGGAGGCTTTAAAAGTATACTAAATGCCTAGTAGCCAGTGCTAGCATTCCTAGACTTTTCTTATTATGTTCTGTCCAAACTAAAATTTTTGTAAATGCCATCTCTGATTAAAATGTACCAATAACTTAAAATGGAGTCATTTTCTAGCTCCCCCAACTCTGTTAATGTTAATAAAAATTAAAGTTTCTCTATATTCTTTAACTTATCCATGTTCCTGGAACATAATACTGGAAACTATTCTCTCAGCTGTCTATATTTTGTAAGACAATCCCTGAAATAATCATGCTAACATGTCATGTTGATAAGCATACAGTAAACATCTGTGGAAAGACCTTTGAATCAACTAAATTTGCTAATACCTTGATATATTATTAATTTCTTTCTTTAAGGTTAACTGAAGACTTTCAGTGAACTAATGTTTCTGTCAATAATCTATATCTGGTCAATACTATAAACTGAGCTATTTCAACACCACTCCTTCAGTAATCTGCCTAGCACTTCTGTTTTATGACTGCAATACCCAGAGCATCATATTTGTTTAAGAGCCGTGACGTTCTTCACCTGAGTTTATGATCTGGTGCTGGAAGATGGTGCTCTGTGGTATGACACCACTTAATCCCCAGTTTTCAGAGTGCAAGTTAAAGAGGTGCCAAGCAAGCTTTAAAAATACTGTGTCTAGACGCTGCAGCTGGAAAAAAGAAGGGCTGTAGAGCTTGGAGAATAAGTGGTTAAACAGCAAACTACTGACCACAGTGTTTGTAGTACATGAAAGGAAAAATCCTCCACACAAGGCATCTATATGAAGAAATACCTGCAAATGACAAAATGTCTAGATACAGTCTTCATAAAAATAAGTATGTAACTATGTATGTACTTATGTATACATGAATACACATGCATAAAAATATGTGTATGCATTTAAAATACATACAGAGATACGTAGACACATATATACCTACATGGAGGGAAAGTTAGGTATGCTGAGCAGGATATTGCATATAATCAAAAGTTAAATGCATGCTTACCCTGCAAATAAAGCAATTACCCAGGTAAAACAATGCAGGACTGATGGAATCCTCTTTCAAATGCTGAGCTGTAGGATAATGCAGGCTATAGCAAGTGGGGAGTCATGGAGTGTCCGTAGAGCCTGGGTTTGTGCTGCTGCATGGAGGAGCCCTGGGGTGCCGCCCAAACCCAGGCAGGGTGTTGTGCTCACTGCCTCTGCTTCCATCCTAGTGCCCAGTTCAGCTGTCTAAAGGAGGCAGGATGCTGTAAGGAGCTTAGAAATGGACTCTGGAGCAGCTGATGGGATGTACCCTGCCATGCCAAAGAGGGCTGGGACAGCCCAGGAGCCAGGCACACACCAGTCCTCAGGGAGAAGCGACCAAGGGGGAGCCAAGTGCACCATGGGCAGTGAGGCAGACCCTGGAAGAAATAACCAACAGTTTGTAACTCTTATTTATAATAATGGCCCTCCATGCTAAGTTGTGAAACCTGTAGATATAATTAGGAAGGCCTAATTATATTTTTTTTTATTTCTACTATGTTGCTTAAGTGCATATGTGAGTTGAGGCTTGCTTGGAGCGTCAAATCCTGCTGGAGCAGGGCTCCTGCACATATGAAGATCTGATGTTTTCCATTCCTCTCATTACACACACAAATTTCTAATAAGTTTAATTCTTTGATATTCTTGGGTTATAAAGTACAATTTTCTGAAAGTCTGAAATCATGAAAGACAAAATTTCAAATCCAAAAATCTCTCTACGTATCCAGAATAGAAAGCAATAATGGTGTATTTTTCTGCGAGACTCAGCAGTTCTGGCTACTTAACCTGAATGCACTGAGTTAGGGAAAACTCTTGTCAGCTGCACTACAGCAGTTAAGCAGGCAACACACTCTCTGTAGCTTGAGAAAAAATAAGATTTGCAGGAGACCACTATACTCACAGCTTGAAAAGTGTGGCAAAATCTCAGCCCAGTTTCTTTCAACACTATTCTGTAGAGTACACCCTATAAAGGGTGTCAGATGTACACTTTTGAAGAGAAGTCTATGGTTGCACTTCCTGTTTTAATGCTATTTGGACACATATTAATGTCATTAATATTAATTAACATGTTAGTGTCAGGGAGGCCTGTGCTTTGTCAGGTCAATTACAAATTAAATGAACTCCTAATCAATGCACATGAAACTGAATGAACTGATGACAGGTGGCTCTGGTTTAAATTGAGAAATCTATTGAAAATACTGAAATTAAAAACATCAGAAAAAAAATCCAGTCTTGAGTAAATAATGATTTTGTTTGTGTTTTTATTCTGAATGGAAGGGAAAAACAGGACTACTATGCTTGAATGCTGAGGTCAATAAATTATTTCCTTTTTTTGTTTGTATGTTTCTTTAGGTATAAAGCTATAGTAAGGCCAATGGAGATCCAAGCATCCCATGCACTGATGAAGATTTGTGTGAGAGCTGCTATAATCTGGATTGTATCCATGTTGCTTGCCATCCCTGAAGCAGTATTTTCAGATCTGCACCCTTTCCACGACAAAGGGACTAATAAAACCTTTATCAGCTGTGCTCCTTACCCTCATTCAGATGGGCTGCATCCCAAAATTCACTCAATGGCATCATTTCTCATATTTTATATTATTCCCCTTTCTGTAATTTCAGTGTATTATTATTTTATTGCTAAGAATTTGATCCGGAGTGCTTACAACATCCCCGTGGAAGGCAACGTGCATGTGAGGAAACAGGTAGAGATTTTACTTTCTTCAAAAATCCACATTCTCTATGAATCTGGAAGGAGAGAGGGAATACAGGGAAATTTATACTGTGACAGACCGTGTCTGTCGTACCGATTTTAATAGATTAGGTGGGGTAAAAGAATTAAAATGGATGAAAGGAGCCATGATACAAGGCTAAACAGTTAAAGCATCTCCTCCTGTTTGTAAGTTCAGAGACTTTGGCAGAGTGGTTACCATGGCAAGCATAGCAGGAGACCCTTGCCAAAGCCTGGGAAGGTATTGACTAGGATGCAGGGGAAGGGGCAGAGCAGATGCAGTGTTTGCAGATGGAGGCAAAGGGGTTATGTGGGAGAAAATCAAAACTTCACAAAGTTGCAGTCAGAGAGAGGACCTTGGATAAAGCCTTGCCTGTTTCTAAACAGTCTATTTACCTTAACATATTTATCTTACTTGCCTTACCTCTTCTTTTTACTGAAATGTGCTGCAACCTCAGCTAAACTGACACAAGCCATTTATAGCTAGCAATTGTCCACTCAACTGCACCCAGCTGACACCTCCACCTTAGGATGACCCAACACAATCATCTTACATAGCCTTCAGGTGCTATGCTGAAGCAGTAAGGGTGTAAAGACTTGGGTTTTACTCATCAAATGATGTGTGATCCCTGAAATCCTTATCATTTTTCCCTTCTGGATGTGCATGAATCTTTTCCCCTGCAGGCCATTTCTCTGCTGATTCAATGGCTGTTTTGATTAGTGGCAGTAAAGTGAGCAGTACAAGCAGCCCTTTCCCCTTTGGTTTAGGGGAGAGAGCTCTAAAGCAAGCAAAAGGCCAGGCTGGTCTAGCACCCTCCATCCCTCATTCCCGTCCTGCCGTGCATTCAAGTGCTATATGTCTCCATCTGAGATAACTGGTATCGATTTCTTTATTGCATTGCTTCCTTTCTTTATAGTGCAGATGTGGCCTCAATAGCCCTATATCAAATTAAGAATACATTTCAAAAGAATATATGTTTAGCTAAGGACAGCCCTTTCTCAAAGGATTTAATTTTCAGCCTGCTCGCTGGAGACATTATCACCTGGTGCATGTCAGTCCTTCCTGAGCTCAATGGCCTGTTTTTAGTCAGTGCCATTAAAGGGACACAAAATAAAGTCAAAATGGGCTTGCTATGTTTCTCCTGCCTGGTTGCTGCTTGCAGCTGTCCTGACAATAGATCAGCCTGTGTAAAATGCTCAGTTTCTGATGTACCTGTGGAGCTTGGAAGCAGAATGAGGACGGGGCAGTGTTCTGGGAGTCTGGCCAGGTGCTGTGGCCACAGTGAGGCAGGAGCAAGGGCAGCAGGGCTGAGGCTAGGAGCAGTTGCAGGCCATTCACGTAAGTATACATAAGTATAAGAAGTGGGATGCAGCAAATTCCCTAGGAGTGTCTGGGAAACATTAGTGGGATTACCACAGAGGAGAACATTAGGGAGCCCTAAAAGGTCAGCAGTTACATTTTCAAATCCTGCAAACTCTGGCTGTGCAACCTCTCCCAGGGAGACGTGCATTTTAGCAGGTTTTTCTGGGCAACTCTGTCTGTCCTCTCATTTTGGGCAACCTCCTTCACAGTTTTTGTGTTCATTAGGAAGAGAGATGTGTTTTTCAGTGGCTTTGTTATCTTAATGTGCAGCACTCATGGACAAAAGGACAAGGTATGGTTTACCTCAACTCCCCTGGGTTGAGCAATACCTTTGGGTTGACTCCAAACCTGTAGAAGTAAGTAAAACAAAAGCTGGTCTGCACAAAGGTTATACTGTGTGCTAACTGGCTTTGTGAAAACACCTTTCCCTGACAAAACTCAGATTATACCAAGAGGTGGTCATCCATCTCTTCACCACCTGTAGCTCTCTCCTGATGGTTCCAGTGGTTTCAGCTGAAGGGTCCACCTTGCTGCTGCCTTGGTGTTCCTCTAAGTACAGAATGTCCTCTCCCTCTTTCTCCATCTCCTTCAGACTCAGAGTGCTGCACTTGGTCTCAGAGGGCTGTGAGCTGTTGACAGCACTTTTGTATACATACACCACATGGCCCCATGGCAGAATGTCCTGCCTGTGAGCTCTGAAATATCCCAGACTCCTACACAATAATTAATTATAATAATAGTAATAATAATAAAGTAATTTATTAAAATTACATATGATTGTATATATTATGTGTGGATAACTAATGCAGATTGTCCACACTTTTGTTGCCAGAGCTGGGGTTTTGCAAAGTTACAAGCCATTGGAATTTTATCTCTAAACAGGAAAGGAAAGACTTCTTATGTAATAAATTTTCAGAATTATTTGTTTATAAGGGAAGGGGGTTGACGAGAGACAAGGATAGTTCTTGACTGTTTACCTGCAGTCCAGATTTCCCCGCTCTGGACATGCCACCTGCCACATGTTAGCTGGAAAGCAAAAAATAGTCAGCCCCTGGTCTGAGCTAGGAATAGCAGCTAATCTGTGTTTCCCTTTCTTTGACCAGATTGAATCCCGTAAGCGCCTGGCCAGGACCGTGCTGGTCTTCGTGTGCCTCTTCGCCTTCTGCTGGCTGCCCACTCACATCATCTACTTATACCGGTCCTACCACTACTCCGAGGTGGACACCTCAGTGCTGCATTTCATTGCCAGCATCTGTGCCCGGATCCTGGCATTCACTAACTCTTGTGTCAATCCCTTTGCTCTCTACTTGCTCAGCAAGAGCTTTCGGAAGCAGTTCAACAACCAGCTGCTGTGCTGCAGAGCTCGCCTCCTCATCCGCTCCCACAGCATGGCCAGGAGCACCACACGAATGACCTCCCTCAAGAGCACCAACCACTCCCTGGCCACCTTCAGCCTGATCAATGGCAATCACATCTGCCACGAAGGCTGTGTCTAAAGGGTGCAGTCAGAGACATCAGTTGCTGAGCGTGGCTGCTGGACTTTGCTCCGTGGGGATGGTGAGCAGCGCACGCACGCTTGCACACGCGCATGCAAGGAGGTGTGGTGTGCTCAGAGGAGCTTGAAGCATCCAGCATTTCATCTGGGGCTGAGGTTGAAGCATCCAGCATTTCACCCTGGACTGAGGCATCGCCAGAGCATCAGATCATTGAGCACCAGCCCACAGGATCTCCCTGGGAAGTGCTGCTGTGCTTTCAATGAGAGCAAAATGGGCACCTTAAGATCAAATCTTTTTTGGCACTGCAGAATCTTCATCACTTCCTGCTCAATCCCAAATTTATGCAGACTTACAGCAGTGATAAAGACCATATCAGGTGCACACAATTTGTCAGAACAGTTGCATCCATCACGTTATGATGTAATGTATTTTGACATAGAAATAAATCCATTTAAATGAGGTAAATACTTTTACAAAGGAGTTCAGTGTAGGTCATTTACAGACTTTCCAAGTATTTATTAATGTTCTGAGTACAGTATTAATTCATTGTCTAAAAGATATCAAAAGTTTACTGGGGCATGTCTGTGGTCCCATCTGAAATGAGCAGTATCTTACACCACGTCAATGTGAAAGCAGTAACGTGAATAAATGTGAGTTGGAATATGTTTACAGCTTTCAACTGTGTGAGCTTTTGCCGTGTTGTGGAAGAGACAGCAGGGCAACTTCCAAGCATTACTGTTTTGTTCTTCCTGTCTTCAAAGGTATGATATAGTGAATGTTCCATCACCTAAGTGGTACCACAAAATTTTAGCTGGGTTTAACTAAGGGCAGGCAATAGCAGAAGCTGATGTACATCTATTTTTCATGTAGTAGTGCTTTGTAAAGCACTAGTTTTTCAGCAAAATCTATCAGCAACGCAATTTGTGATCTCCAACCTACATTTTTTTTCCACTGTCTTCACAGAAATCTGTGGAGACAGAGCGACAAAACTGGCTAACAGATTGGAGAAATAGGTCCACTCTAACATTTGCTCCAGAACAATTCCTGTGCCAGGTACCATCTATTCTGGAACAGGAGCACAGTGTCCTGCAGATATCAAACTCCTGAAGCACCTGGGCTATAAGACACTCAACAAAGCTGCACACCTGATAAAAAAAACTGCTGCCAAAGGAGACCATAAACCAATCACTGTAGCAGAATATGCATTTTTTTTATGGCACTTACCCTCTTTGATGATGATCCTTTTCATTACCACACCAAAAGATAAATGAAAGCTGGTAAAACTTTGTCCTGAGTTTGCTCTGTGTTTGTAGAAAAAGTCATGTGTGCAGTGTAAAAGCACTCAGCCCTGTGTCTGCAGCTGCTTTGGGATGCTGGTGGGAGCTGCTATCTCCAAGGGCTCAAACAGGCTCTGATGACAAAGGCAGAGCTCTGAAAACTTTGGCTGATTTTCCCTTTTGTCCTCTGGGTGAGACTGGACACGCAGGTACGTGAGCTCAGGATGGGGCCCCACCACTGTGCTGCTAAGGGTAACACTGCCCTGTTCCCCCACCAGCCCTGGGCACTGCCACCTGTGTGTCACCCCCTCCTGCAGCCATAAGGGCCCCCACATCCCAGTCAGGTTGAAAACTAATGGAATGGGCTTATTTTACAGATGAGTCAGTTCCCTTGCTTGGCTGACTGTGTCACTATGATGTTAATTTCAGTTTACTAAGCTATGCGAGGTCCTCATTTATTTAAAGTTTCAGTGCTTTCCTTAATCTTTACTGTGAAGCCAGTTACAGCACCAGAAGCTCAGTCTGCAACCATTTCAGAGTTTGTTTGAGTTCCAAGCTGTTTATGACATTTCAAAATGAGAAAAAATTATCTGGCCTAAGGTATTTTTATTAAATATTTTCTTTAGCCTTGTAAGAATTTAATCAAAGGCAAGCAGGAATTACATACTTCAACAGCAAACACACCAGGTGCGCTACACAGTGTGTCCTCCTGTTTGGTAACAAGAGATTACTGTTGTTCTACAAAAGACTTCAAAAGTTTCTGAATTTTTGTTTCTGAGGGAAGGGGCTAAAATCATAAATCATGAATCATAAAAATGAAAAAATTGTAAATATGGGGAAAAGAGCACTGTTATAACTCCCTTAGGGCTATGCTGAATCAAGAACCCTGTCATCCTGAGAAAGGTGGTGAAGAGCTATGAAGATTTAGCACTGTAGATTTTAGTAAGTACTATTGATTATACACTTTCCTTTGAAAGAGAGCTAGTGACTCCTCCAAGAACAGAAAAGATGGTTATGGCTCTGGTCTGAAAAGTGCTTTCCAGGAGTGCAGCTGCAGGATGTCCACATGTGTCACTGCCTCACTCCTACCTAAGTTGCTCATTATTATTTAGTGATGGACTTGGCACTGCTGGTTGAACTCGATGACCTTATAGGCCTTTCCAATCTTAATGATGCTGTGATTCTATGATTCCTTTTAACTTTGTTTTTGCATCTGATAGGCATAAATTTAGAGGGAACTCCATGCAAAATGCAATCTTTTCATCAGAATCTAAGATACATACAAGTTATTTTAATATTTAGAAAATTAGATCAAGTCTTTTCAAATGAGTTGTCAATTTTCATTAACATTCTTCATTTTATTCAGATCCCTGGCTCCCTGTTCAATACCATTAAGACAATTTGGTGGGTCTGTGAAAAAAAAATTACATTGAAAAAAGTTCCTTGCAAAAAGTATTTCAAAATGTATTTCACAAATTTGCACTCATTTTTTAATACCATTGAAAGAGCAAACCTGAGATCGGAATTGTTTCTATTTCATCCTCATATTAAAATAATGAAAAATATCAATGCAGCAGGTGAGGTTAGGGAATGAAGGAGGATTCAAGAAATTTTTCTGAAATATCACAGAATGTAACTAAAATATTTGTAGCTGCAATTTTTCATGTGTGTTTCTCACTCCTTGTCTCATTACCTTGGTTTCAAACACACGATGTACTTTACACTGCTGCAGCAGCCTGATCCCTTATCGAGGGCTCTGGCAGTGTTTGATGGCACAGCTGCAGTGCTGATTCTTTGAACCTGGAGCGTTTTCTGCAGCGTTTTGTTTGTTTGGTAAATTTTCAAAGTGCCAAAGATAAAACCTGTGCCCAAGCATAACCCAAGAAAACCTGTGCCCAAGATAAAATCTTGGCAGGCAACTCCTGCACTGTGCACTCAGGTACTGCCCAGTCCTGGGGGGCATTGCAGCCCCTGGCTGTGACCCTGGGGTGGCTCTCCACCCTCCTTTCTGCTCTGCTCTCTCCATCAGCACTGGGAGCATTGCAGTAGTGTCTCAGACCGTGTTGTTTAAGGAATGCTGTGCTTCAATGTCCCTGAAATGCCTGGCTTCTGGGAGACTGAGGAATTTTCCACGCTGGGTCCATCTCTAAAAGTGGAAAGGTGAAATTCCCCTTGAACCAGGAAGTCCTTTGGGTTCAGTCTGCCCTGTCCTGTGTGACACATGGCATTTCAACTATCTGCAGGGTGGGGGTGTGGGAAAAATGGTTCCTGGCTCAGAATGTGTGTGTTACACAGTGGGGCAGTGTTGCTGCTCCCCACAGTGCAGCTGTGCTTTCCTCCTGGGTCACAAGTGCTACCGGGCAGAAAGTCATTAAAAGTACATGGCTACCATTTGCTGAATCCGTGTGAAATGCAAAACTATTGCTAAACAGGGCATTAGGATCCAGTATCTGAAGGGGGACTACATGGAAGCTGTAGAGGCACTTCCCATCAGCAACTGTAGTGATAGAGCAGGGAGCAATGGGTTCAGACTGAAAGACAGAAAATTTAGGTTTAGACATACAGAAGTTATTTAATGTGACAGTGCTGAGGCACTGGAAGAGGTTGTCCAGAGAAGCTGTGAATACCCCATTCCTGGAAGTGTTCAAGGCCAGGCTGGATGGGGCTCTGAGCAAACTGGTCTAGTGGAAGGTGTCCAAGCCCATGAGAGGGGGGTTGGAACTAGATGGTATTTATGGTTCATTCCAAACCAAACCATTTTTTGATTCTATACTGAGTTATGTTCATGCTTATACTGAGTTATGTCCATGCTTTCTCAGGAGAAATTAAATAGGATAAAGCATTGTTCTTCCTTAGGCATTTAAACCTTTCTGAGATTCCTGAATTCCCTTCCTGAACCTGGTGGGAGATGAAAATGCCAAGTAAATCACAGCTTTCAGCTGTTCTTGATTTAGTTTAGGATTATTCCATGCAATTTGGCACTAAAACTATGTATTCTAGGTTTGAAAAAATCACCACAACAGATCAAAAAGTATAGAAACTTGCTAAACAAGTTTCTATACTTTTTGAACAAGAAACTTGCTAAACCAAGTAAACACTTCCAATTCCTCACCTCTGTCTATGAGAGGCATTTTTCTTGCATTATTTCCAAATATTGCCTTTTAGAAAATGTTTAAATATGAAAAATCAAACGTGTGTGATTCTGCTGCATGGCAACAATAGGTGTAAGCAAGAAATAATACCAGATGGTGGAAAGAAAGAGTTTTACTTTTAAATGCAAATATTTACTTATGAAAATATTTGTTGAACTCAAATAGTTATTTTTTAAAATCCACCAAATAATATAAAAAGTAATGAGGTTTTCTTTGTTTTAAATAACAAACAAAAATTCAAAGCATCTCTATTCACCTAACAAGAAAACAGGTAACCTGTTATTGATATATGTTATCCTGAATTTCCCAATTGCCTTGATTTATGTGGAATTTAATGTTATAGTTAAAACCCAGAAAGATTTTACGTTTATGCGTGGTTTGGCAGAAACAATATGCCTTCTTCCTCATTTTTCTGACAAAATACATTTTTTTACAGTAGAAAACCATCTGTGTGTATTCAGTTGGGGAAAAAAAATCCCTGTTTTTCAGTCTTCTTTAAAGGCAAGAAGCTCAGTGCTGCTTATCTGAGCAGTGAGCAATCTCCTGAATATTAACTGCTCATTGTTACTGC